GGAGTAGCTCATAGTGGATGATTCCCTTCCAATCCCATCAAACACACAGTAAAACCTTCTTGGCCGTCAATCCCGGCTTGACCACTGTTTGGGACGATTCASCGGCCTTCGACCACGACCGATTAATATAAGTCTTTATACTAGGATTTTCGAACTTCCGGTGAGTTATCTTAATAAAATTGAGAGAGCGTGTGTTTCTTATTTTTGTGCTTAGAATGAATAAACTCGGTTGAAAACTCCTCCKAAACCCCATATAACTAATGGGCCATATATTTAACAAGTAAAGAAGGGCTAAGTTCGGGTATCACCTAACATTTTATATTTGAATTTTTTATTATTGAATTGTATTTTCATTTATTTTAATTGTATTGAAAAGTCTCCACTAGGGATACCTCAGCTCAAATACCGTATTTGTGTAAAGTTTTATTCCGCTATCATCAATGGTTCCTAATGTAGATTTATATTATACAGAGAAGGCATCAGATGGAATTCAAAATAGCGTTATATTTGAAGAAGGCGTGGTTGTGAACCGACTTCACCCATATTTCGTACATGTCATCAGGGTGTTAAGAAAATATTATATACCGAATTTGATTGAAATCGGTAGAGTAGTTCCTGAGATATGGCTTTTGGTCCATAAGTAGGCGACGCCAYGTCCCTTTTTAAATTTTTAAAAATAGCCTGGGTGCAGCTTCCTTCTGCCATTTCTTCCGAAAAATTTAGTGTTTTTGACGTTTTTTGTTAGTCGGTTAGCGCACTTTTAGTGATTTTCAACATAACCTTTGTATGGGAGGTGGGCGCGGTTATTATCCGCTTTCTTCCGTTTTTGAACTGTATATGGAAATGCCTGAAGGAAACGACGCTAAAGAGTTTGGTTGGCATAGCTATAGTAGTTTCCGAGATATGTACAAAAAACTTAGTAGGGGGCGGGGYCACGCCCACTTTTCCAAAAAAATTACGTCCAAATATGCCACTCCTTAATGTGATCCTTTGTGCCAAAATTCACTTTAATACCTTTATTTATGACTTAGTTATGACACTTTATAAGTTTTCCTTCCTATGAAGCCAAGAAATACGTGTAGCAAGTTTCATCATGATATCTCAATTTTCACTCAAGTTACAGCTTGCACGGACAGACAGACATCCGGATTTCAACTCTACTCGTCACCCTGATCACTTTGGTATATATAACCCCATATCTAACTCTTTTAGTTTTATGACTTACAAACAACCGTTATGTGAACAAAACTATAATACTCTCYKTAGCAACTTTGTTGCGAGAGTATAAAAATACTTACCTAGCAAGTTGCAAGAGTATGAAATGTTCGGTATTACTCGAACTTAGTTAGAGGTTGCTTCTTACTCTCTTACATCTTGAATGAAATTAATTCGTCTTATTATCCCCAGATTTTTATTTATGTACTAGCTGACCCCGCAGCCGTGCCTGCGTGAAATTATGTGTTTTGAAATGAAAAGAAAGTTGAAGTTTTAATGTTTTGAAAATCATTTATTTGCGATTTTTCTACATTTTTTATTAATGTAGCGCAGCTTCATAAAAAAATTTGTTGGTTTCTGTTCTGGTGCGTAAATGTACAGAGAAGATGGGTTTCCAACTCGTAAACAGGCCACGCATATCCGATCGTGGTAAAAACGTAGCATTCCCAGATTTATGCCACACTCTTCTAGCGACTATTCTTGTATTCTGTTGATTGTCATCGCAAATGCAATTTTCCCTGGAAACTGAATACGTTTGAACTGAAATGGCTGTCCCCTTGTATTCGATAACTGCGTTACAATCAGTCTTGTTCCATTACACAGTTTCCTCACATGAACATTGTAAAACATAATAATGACAGATCCAACTTTGAAATGCAAATGATGCTGCGGCATACCAAGCCTCTACGAAGAATTTAGAAATTCCACTCGATAATTCACGGGTTCATTTTCAATGTCAAGACGATCGATCGATTTGTCTGAGTTTAAATCTCCCGGAATTTGTCTTCGAATCTTCCAGTTTAAGTCAAAAACATCGGTATTTTTAGCAGCTAACATTGCGCTTGCATTTAAGGAATAGTAGTTACGTAATTTGGCCAATGTCCGAACATTCGTGATGAGTTTATATTTCGTGAATTGATAAACGGCGGATGGAATTGATATCAAACCACTGGGAGTATCAACCAAAATTTGCCTATTTCCAATTATCGAATACAATGTAAAATGCAATCGGCAATGTAATTTTTTTCATATCCCATAACTGCCGCGATTCGAAGGCTGATATGTGTGTGAAGTAACTATCGCATTGTCCGTCGTTTGTTTCCAGTGATTATTAGCTGGCATGCTTCTCAACAATTTGCACACACCGTACTATTCACAATATGCAATGACTTAAAAGAAGTTGAACCGCGAGACGCACAACAGTCGTAAAACCTTCATGAATTGTAAAATTAAATATCCTAGAAAGCGCTTTATTGCAGTTCACGTATCGACCCATTTGGTACTTGCTGATCTCATCTCGTTCAAGGCCAATAATCGCCATGTTGTTTTCTTTGGTGACGTATTTGCAAATTTGATCGATTTCACCAAACTGCAATACTCAACAATGACATGAGTTTTGAATGTGAATTAGACAACAGTCGATACGTTGACAATTTCGATATTCACGCCTTGAATGCTAAATGTTCTGCCATTGTCGTCTGGTGAACCACTATATCCATCATTTCCAGTTTGCGTTTCCGAAAGAAAAATACTTGAATAGTGTTTCGTGCATTTATTGTTAGACATATGTACATCCAGAAGTGGGATTGTGGTGTCCGCAAGGTCTATGAACCATATTGGTTTTTATCACTTCCTATAATACTGGATCCCTCTCTGCATCAAGAATTTCCGCAGAAATGATTTCATCAATTTGGTCTCCTTTGCCCCTCAAGAGAGTACATCGAGCATCTTGCCTTGCCTTGGGCTGCAATACGTTGATGGCAAAAATAACGCCCACCGACCGTAATAATAAATGACCTCTTCGTAATAAATTTCAATCTGCAATTGATCACTTTATGTGAATCGCACATAAAGTTTTCTCTGAATAATTTTCAATAATTTACCTTTCTAATAGCCGGAATAAAAAAGCAGGCGACCGAAATTGAACGATTCAAATAATTTACAAATCAAAACCATTGAAAAACAAAAGATTTTTCCGACTTTTCCTCATGAAAAGCATAAGGTATTATTATTTCCAAACCTTCCCCGATTCACAACGAACAACCTCTGCAAATTTCATCAAGATTGGTGCAGCCGTTCTCTTAACGATATTAACAAACAAATATACATTCGTTTGTATGGGCAAAAGAAAATGGATGTTTTTAGAGAATTTCCGGCAATTATTCGAATTTTTCTCGCCGTAAAAACCATCTTTGCACTTCAACGAACATTTAGAAAAAAGAATTGGCCAAATTGGCCCAGGCGTTGTCGAGTGATGCGCTTACCAACACATTTTGAGATTCATTTTTATATATGAAGATAATCATACATATGTACATACATATATTTCTATTTATTTTGTGGGTTACAAATATCCAATATTTCGGTCATTGTCCAAAAAATCTTTTGTGAAGTCGAAAATATGGATATCATTTGTGAGATTCTTTCCCATTTATTTAAGAAAATTGCCTTACTGACAACGTGCAATCATTACTGCATTTATAAGTTCTCACTAAGAACGTTTATTTATTGATTTGGGATTATATAATATAAGTAAATAATTCCGATTCCTCTAATTCCTCTGTCTTTTCCCGAATTACTCCATTGTTGTACGCACTTCCATGCATGTGGTTTTTGTTATATGCACTCCTCTTTTTCGCATTATCCTACAATGATATTCTTATTCAAATACTTATACGTTGTTAGCTGATATTCAGCTTATGAATATGATATTTAATAAATTTTCCACTTTGATTGTAATAGTTTTAGATTAGTTTACGTACATATGTATTTGTCAGTGTCAGAGATTTATACATTTCCTCAAAAAAGTTCACATATATAATTTGTCAATTAATGTTGTTTAAAATCTGCTTAATTAATTTTAAGTTTGTTAATATAATGTGTAAGAAAAGCTTAGAATTGCAAATTTCATAAAATTACAGTTTTACTTACGTAACTACAAGTATGAAGTGTTTCAAGGAAATCGTATACAATACTGTGAAAAATATAATAAATTGTTCCAAAACCCTCCAAATGTTGGCATACGGTGTTTCTGAGGTCAAAAACACTTTCAAAAAGGTCGACAAGAATACAAATGACTTTGTAGATTTTAAAATACGAACAACTAGTTTGGTGAAACAGTTGAGGAACTATTATTATAATCTAGAAGATGTGTTGATACTGACATTACAGTGAAATATGCTATGATAATTTTAGGGGCTTCCAAGCTGGGAAGGTGTGTCCGAATAAAAATCTGAAATTGATTGATTAAAGTGAAAAACTGTCGAGCGAATTCAAAAATATTACTAAAGGTTTGAAAGGTATTTGTTTCTTTTATTTGTATACTTGTTCTCACACACCATTCCTGCATTCAGTTTTAGTGAAATATTCGAAATCTAATTGGATTGTGACTACGTATTGGGGAGGTAGTAAAAGAATCAGTTGGTAATTACTCACACAGACAAAAATTATGACGAATTGGATAAAATTAGTTATTAAGCAGATGTGTTGCTATTATATGACGCATGCAAAGGTTTCGCTTGTTCTTTGTGCATCTATACATAAATATGTATATACGTTCACACAATAATAATTAACCCATTAAGTATAGTTTATATATAATGTAAATACAACTAAAAAGTAAGAATTTACGAATTTCAAAATTTTCATGCATTTTGTTATGGAACAATTTGTAAAGTTATAAAGACCAAACAAGTTTTAGAAAGCATGGGAGCGTTAAAAATTCTGATTCAGACCGCTATAAATTTTAACACAATTTTCTGTGCTTACGATTTATTTATTTTCAGATAGTATTTCTTTGACAAGCACCATCAAATGTCATGTGTTATGTTCTCACCAACTTGGGGTAGATTTGAGTTGCACGAAGCTTACATTGATTTCTTCGCAAATACTCTTTCATCTATTCGATGTAAATCTTTGAGCTCCTGAGGAGGGTGCGTCGAAGACCAAAACGGTATCAATTTTTGTTCATGACAGCAAGTTTGTTATCTTAAAAGAAATTATTCTATAGGTTTCTTCCAATCGCACTCGGATATTTGGGGAAAAAGAAATGCTTTCTACCTGACGATAATTGCCCTTTTGACAGAGTGTTAATTAAACAAGAAGCCAATACAAATTATTTTCATATTCATCTGTTCAGTGATCAGAATATACCTTACGAGTGAACAGCCTACTTATACATTTAAGTACATCTGACCGAGTGCTTAGATCAATAAGATATATGTAAGTAAGTACATACAAAGGTTCAATTGGTATCATAGAATTGAAAATTACTACTTCCAATAACTGTCTATCAAATAACTTGCTGTCGTGCATTTAAATTGATTTCGCGTATCATTGTCGTCGTCATAGCAATTATCATATGCCATGCGTCAGTGGCACTAAGTCCGATGGCTTTTCGGAGAGATAAAAGAAATGTTTTACATAAGTAAAAATTGAAACTCCTAAAATTACTTATGATTATATGGAAAAACATTCAGAAGATTTCTTATAAATTATACACATATAATATAACATATATATCAATATTCGTTCCAAAATTTTCATGTTTAGTTCCATAAATGCGCTCATATTTAGAGTCTGCGCACGCATCGCTATTCTGTATGCTAAGTTGCTCCTCCAAGTAGGTTAAATACCTCTGCATGTTACTTGTTTTCTTTGTTGTGTCTGGTATTTTCCTTTACTCTGTTAAGTACTGCTTTTGTTTGATTCACTTGATTTAAGTACTGCGTGCTTCCAAGTTCAAGGTCAGTTCCACATAAAACATGTTAACCACTTATGTATATATACACATATACCATATATAAATGTACATATATGTATGTATTTAGTGTGGTTTGGAGTGTATGCTTTTTTGACTCTTGGAGCTGTCAATAACTGGTCTAAAGTTTTTAAAGTGAATGCCATATGTACCCACATGTAGTGGTTTTTGTAGGCAGCTTTTTTTGTTGACAAGTCATATACATGAAGGTATTTTTCTTTTTCTTTCGTTATGTATTCGATTTTTAAATTATTCATAAGACATTTTTTATTTATTTTAATAATTTTCCACAATGTAAAAAAAAACTTGATACTAATAAGTAAGGCTGGGCTAAGTTCCTGGGCAAACTGTGGAAAATACCTTCATATTGCTGGCAAAACTTGAAATTGAACTTGAATGTACCACCGTCCATACTTTCTGTATTTAATTAAGATTTCTTGCACATTGACCCAAGATGCGATACATAGGTTGCCTTTTATTTCTGGATTAGAAACAAAAGAAATTTTAATCTTCGAAAAACGCTTTACTTTCTTTACTGGTGTAGCCACCGCTTATGTGGTTATAGCCGAGTTCCCAACAGCCGCCAGTCGTTCTTCCTTTTCACTGTTCGCCATCAATTGGAAATTTAAAGTATAGCCAGGCCATTCTCCACCTGATCTTTCCAACAGAGTGAAGGTCTTCCTCTTCCTCTGCTAAACCCGGCGGGTCCTGCAATGTTTTTATCCATACGGACGACATGACCTAACCAGCATATCCACAGTCTCTTAATTCTCTGAACTATGTCAATGACGTCGTATAACTCGTACTGTTCATCGTTCAATCGAATGCGATATTCACCGCAATGACCATAAATCATCCAGTCTGGAGAAAGCAGAACTAACTGGCGCGCTGTTGTTAACTCGGCTATAATCGCGTAAGCGGTATCTACGCTCGGGTTCTCAGATATGTGATTTCACCAAAAAGTGGGAGGTGCCTCGTCCATCGTCCGTTTTTCACATCGGCTCCCATAAAGCCCTTTCAATCCATCTTGGAGATAAATTTAATGTCTTTGGCTATTCAGGAAACTTAAACGAGCATTCCAATGAATTCGTATTAAGTCAATTGAAGACATTAAACATGAATCGCTACACACACTGAAGGCTATTCCAGAAATTGACATTAATAACTCTTTCGAGAATTGGAAAAAACGTTGGCACAAGTGTGTTGGGATTACTTTGAGGGGAACAAAATAGATTTGAAGAATAAATTAAGAAATTTAAAATTATGATAAATGTCTTACTATTTCTCTGTTATAATAGACTTGACTCGACTTTTAGATGAATAAAGAAATCGAAATTCAGTCTAAAAATCAATCATTTACTTTCGTTATTGCCATCGAAAGCTTAAATTTGATAGGATTTTATTCAAACATAAGAGAAGTTAGTCATTAAAAGTTTCACACGGTGCTTTAGTATACAAGGTATCGCGTGCAGTGATGCTCTCTGCACTTCATGTATTTTTTTTAATATCATTTTTTTTATAAAAAATTAAGTATAATTTAGAAACTTAGAATATTTTTTTACTAAACCACAGAAATTTTCGCACTCACGTTTTCCTATAGTGTTAGGTATTATGTAATGGGTGTGTTTTTTAGAAAGTTTGAATTTCAAATACACGATAAAACGGTTCAATGAGAACTGTCAAGGGTTGGATGGTAAAGATGTTAGTTTTTTCCACAGAATTCGAGATTCTTTGTTGTTTAAGGGGTTAGAAGGACGAGAAGCGAATTTTTCAGAAAAAACAAACAGATTTCGTTAAAGTAATGTTACATCTAGGAATTGATGGAAAGGGTAAGCTAAATAAATTTTTTGGCGGTTTAAAAAAAACCGATTTTTGACCAAAATTACGGTCGAAATTTTTTATAAATAATAATTATCGATTAAATACTAAAAAATATATTTAAGAAGCAGGTATTAAAATTCGAGACTAATCGGTTTAGCTATTTTCGAGTAAAGTTGGTTGCCGACTTTGAAAACACCATTTGTGAAAAATGCTTTTAAAGCCCTCTGAATATTTAACCTCTCTCTTAAACAAAACTACCTATTTATTGAACTGAAAAAAGTCAATTAACGCACAAAATTATATTTTCGTAAATTCTAAATATTTTTGATTAATAATGCAGATAATACTGTAAAACACTTTAAATAAAAAACCAGAAAAAACGTTAACTTCGGTTGCACTTAAGCATTTTGCTTCACAGGTGCATTTCTGTTAATAACTATGTGTTCAGTTTGTATGGAAGCTATATGCTATAGTAATCCTTTCTGAACAATTTTATGGAGATTATATAGTTACCTTAAGCAGTAATCCATGCCAAATTTCGCGAAGATACCACGTCAAATGCCAAAGTTTTCCATACAGGACCTTGTTCCTTGTTCGACTCTGCTCGACATACTGATCATTTATATATGTACTTTATAGGGTCGCCGACTCTTCCTTCTGGATGTTACATACTTCGTGACAAACTTAATATACCCTGTTTAGGGTATAATAATTCATACATATGTACGTATTAATTTTAATATAAACATTGCGATGTATACACTCGCATAACGTTTTCCGAAACAGATTTTGCCATTAAAGTTTTGTGTTGGTTCAAAGTACGAAGTCAATGCCGTGTACTATTTGCACTTTAACGATTATAATTACTTTATTGAGCGTATTTTATMATGTTAATAATTATAGACAGGTGTATGAAATTTAAATATATAAATGTGTATGGACAAGTATTTATTAGGGTGGGTATTTCACACCAAATAAACGGATTTTTAGCGTAACAACTAGAGGAAAAACATTTATTTGGAATATCTCATGTCTACAGCAATATGTATGTATATAACTGTTACAGCAGGTGCATTTTCGATAAGCTAAGTAATAATGGAAATATTGTAATAGGTTTGCTTCATAACTCGTCTACATTGAAAAGAACTCTGGCTTGAATTCGATAACTAGATTGTTATTTAAAAATCCCAATTAATCGGCTATACATTTACCTCTATTTTTTATATCACAGAACTTAATGCTTTTTTACTCATTATCGGAGTTTYTAACTTCTTACTTATAACTTGTTTATTCGTTATTATAAAGAAATAAGTCTGCTGCCTCTCCGGCGGCGCTTTTTTAGTAGATCGCCACCCAAAACATCAAGATTTGAATATTCTAGCAATTACGAATTTCGCATTTTGGCAAATCATTATTTATTTCGTTTTGTTCTGGTATTCGTGTTCGTCACACTGTCCTGTACATAAATTTGGCATTATTTTCAAGCTTCAAATCAGTCGGTAACTGAAGTCTGTCCCATTGTGTCACGTACATCAGACTGATAAGTCATCAAGAACAACGTTATATGGATATCTCATTTTTTCGACATTTGTTTACCACTTTCATTAAATCTTATTTAGAARTTTGGTTTATTTGGATTTGGTTGAGCCATCCGACTGCGAATGTAATATCTTGTTACCCACTTGCTCATGAATAAGTCCTCTACGGTTTTAGCATTCCGATTAGGAACTTAGTTATTCCTGGCCATTTGTTGCCAGGCGTTTTGTTTGCTCCAGCGTTTTGTAAGTTGTTGAATCAGTACGTTGAATTTATCCACTTTGAAAAATATATAATATATCATTCAATGAAGGTGTAGTATCTTTGAAACAGATTCGAATTGTTGAAATGGTGTAGATTTGAATCTTGGAGGGAATTATGTTTCATGCATTGAAAAGCACTCCGAGAGAATTTCACCTGCCACTCCCATTTTATGCTAAAATTAGAAAAAATTAAATTAAAATCTCCATTTTAGACAGTGGATTGAAGGCGGATTAAAACTTATTGAAGCCTTTACTTGTCGGATATCATTCTGAYATATACATATACAATAAATAGACGGTAAAACAGAGCAAAGCATAAAAAAATATATAAAGTTCAGTATAAGTGAATATAAACTACATTCATGCCTTATGCTGAGCTTAAAATTTTCTGAATTCTCATTCAAAAAACTTACAAGTACATATACACACTTTTATACATATACTATTTTGTATATAAATATATACTATACATACTATGTATATAAAAACTGCTACTTAAAACTTTATTCAGTTTTGGTCATCACAAAATATTGAAGCACTAGACGTTTTAGAATTATTTTTTACACAAAATAAGCTCATAACGACCCATATTTGTATGTCAAAGAGGATATGCTCATTAGTACCTATATATATTTTTGGTGCAAAATAATTGAAAATTTTTGGTTGTGCCGTTTATTAAATGAAAAACGTGCTGAGAGTAGGTAATGTAATAGTGGTTCACGAATGCTAATGTTAATACAATGTGCGTTCCAAAGTAAACAAGACTTTTTTAATCTAGCGCCCCCTGGTGGCGGCATCTATATGTCGACTGGTGCGTTAGAATCTGCTATATTTATCGATTCTCCAGTGACATAACATTTCATTGATTGGAAGTGAAGTTATTGTGTTTTAAGTGTCAAATAGTTGTGTTTTCGGTGCGAAAATGAGCTTCGAAAAAAGAGCCAACATTAAATTTTTTTTAAACTGGTAAAACTTTTACCGAAACATTTCAATTGATGAAACCAGTTTATGGCGATGACTGCCTTTCCCGTAACAAAGTGCACAGGTGGTTTCAACCTTTTCAAAGTGGTCGTGAGGAAATAAATGACGATCAACATGTGGGCTAATCAAAATCTGTGATCACCGGAAATTCCATCGAAACTGTGAGTGAATTCATAAAAAATCAGCCGAAATCATCATTGAAATTCATGGAATTGGAATTGAACATCTCCAAAACATCGATTTATCGCATTTTGACCGAACATTTGAGCTTACGAAGGGTGTGCGCACGGTTTGTTGCGCACAAATTGTCTGATGACCAACTACAGTATTCTGTAATATCTGCAGCCTGTTTGAAAACCTTAATCTTAATCCGTTGATAAGCTACTATTTGGACAAAATTTCTTTGGTAGCCTGCATGCTCCTTGCTAACTACGGAATTTGTTCTTGAATCCCTTTCCTAGTAGACATCCGAGTACCTTTGGTTCTGATTTGTCAACAAATGCGCCTTTAATCGTTCACTCTGTTATAACGTCCCAAGTTTCTTAGTTCAGGCACCCAAATGAGACTTAAATAGTAAGCACTACTACTTACACTGCGTTATGATTCCAGTAGATTTGCTCTGGTCGAACTCTTAGCATAGTAGATGGAAAACATAATTTCTTTATATACTTGATTTTATCGCTAATGACCCAGTAAACACTTTGGCGCCTCCTCGGTCTGGAAGATATTCGCTTTATTTCCGCGTGAGACGGATTGAGATATATTGAACACCTCTGAGTATCCCTTCTCACCCGCTTCCATCTTTAACTCGTCTGGATAAATAGTGAAGCTATCGCTATTTCCCACAGATTCTCTCCATTCTTCTCTAGTGGGGAATTCAAATTGAAAATTCGTATCCAAGTTTAGGGAGGAGATTATAAATTCTTTAATTATACCTATAAGGAGTATATTATCAAAGATGACTTCATGTCCCAAGGCTCTGACATTCCACATTTCCCAATGGTTATATAGAGGGTTTGCGAAGGTATATATCGATACTCCCGATGTTGCATATCCACATAGTATCATATTAAATCGAAGTTTATGGTTTCGTTTTAAATACATTTTATTTTTATTTTAAAATGATAATAAATATTAGTATCTTTCAACTTATTTTTCTAATTTACAGTAAGAAAACACAACGCTGCCGGGGTATTTCCTGAAATATTTCACTTGCACGACTTGTTTTCGAAATGAAATGATTCATTCGTGAGGGCTTTTAATGCAAGAATCTCAAAACAATATACTACTTGTATGAAAGAAATCATAGTTTGCTGGGAATATGAATCGCCTACATATAATTGTTCATCCTGTGAAAAAGGAGCTACGTCGGGATAAATGCGGTTTTGACCACTCACCAGCAGATGACTTCGTTAAATCACAAGTGAGTAAAATAAAATATTTTAATGTATAAATGAACAATTTGAGGTGTCCTAATTTAATTTGTTAAATTCCAAGTGAGAGTTGGTTTAGGCAGAAAATCTCTTTTAAGAAAAAATATTAGCTAATTGTAGGGATAAAACGTAACACAAATAAAAGCCAATCCAGCGAAAGCTCAACAGTSGAGGGTAAAGTGTCTAGATACTTATATCCACCTCACTCATGTTACTTTGATAGCTGCCTCTTAATCTTGAAAGACACCATACCTGTTTGGAAGTTTGAAGCGAGAGTTGATATACACGACAGGCGACTTCYAAGGTTCGAGTACTKCAYATTGTCAGTAGGGTGAAGTCGAGARCCCCTTGGGAGATGTAGGTTACATCCGGGACTTTAGTCATCAGATTATTATGCCAGTGGCCTGATCTCAAACAGATCGCATAGAAGAGGGTCTCCGCACTGACTCCTTCAGCTGAATTGGACAGAACCCATCAGTTTCTGGGGAATTGGTGCAACAAATTTAACACTAATCTGAGGTGACGTTCGTCAAGAATGTCTGTGAAGGCTGTACTGCTGCCTTTAAGCCCTCCAATGTCCACCACGTCATTGGATTGGTTTTCTAGGGAACTGCAATTTTCGTTTGGTTTATTTTGTGGGAAATTAAAAAGAAGAMTTTCTTTCAATGACGAATAAATTATCATATGCTTCTGTTATTCAAAAAACCCACTTAGTCTAAGTTTCACAAATGTTGGGAAAATGTTTCCAATATTTTTTCTTCAATGTGTACTCGTACAAGTATTTTCAAGGTTATTACCACATTTTAGTTAAAAATTTCAATGTCAACACATATGTTAAAAGTCTCAAGCTATGAAGAGCAGGATAGCGCAGGAGGAGGGCGTAAGAACTACGAAAAAGAACAACAAAACCACGCCATTTCGCAGCTGGTCAATATTGCCTTGTGATGTCATATTTTATTTAAACGAAAAATGCAATGCATTCAACGTGAGGCGACACAATGTTCTTCCAAAGAGGTGTTGAAATCGAGAAAGGCCATGGGCTACTTGCCTATCTCCTGTGTTTACTTCAATTAGGGTCATTGTACAACACAAAAAACTAAATGGCTGGCATTGGCACGGAAGTCTTACGGTGTATGTATGCATGTGTTAGTTGAAAGTATTGAAAGGACGATGGATTGTTCAAAACTGGCAGTGGAGATCTCAGTTTCAGCGGGTTCGATTTTTTTATGGTGGCTACTGAGCAACTGGCTCACCTTGAGAATGGTCGGATCATGTWCATTTCGATTTCGTATAGTATCAACACCTTACATTTCCGCTACTACTTAGAAACAAAAACAAAGAGCAACCTTAGAAGCGGCCATCATTTGTCGCTTGGCCGCATTCTTGATTAAATAGTCATTAATAATGTAGCAGAAATTACCCACCTACATACTTCCTTTACTTACTATGATTATCCGTAGGAGTATTCACCCTAACTGTTCAATGCCTTTTATTTTATTTAAATTTATTATTTTTAACTTTTTCTTTTRTTTGCTTCTTATTTATTTATTCCCTACAGTGGCAGAGTCGCACCAAAAGCGTCGTGTATTTAATTTATCGTTGGGTTATTGCGTTGTTCTTCACTGCCGTCGTCATAGATTCGATGCTCGAAAAGGAGGAGGGTTCGTCGACAAACTTTTGGCTGTATTTTATTTACCTGACCAACTGGGGTGTAATGCTTTGTATGTTTACAAATCTATTGGGCGCCATTTTGGTCACCACATGGCATTTTCATCCAGAGTATGCGGGTTAGTGGTACCTATACTTACATATTTAAATAAATCCGATGTAAAAAGTGTGATCCTGTCAAAACAACCCACTTTTTAGCTAAGCATCTTTCAAACAATTTTAAAAGTGTTATAATAATGAAATTTAGTGACGGCCGCTGTTAGCAGCAACCGATATTTTTACTATATAGCAGAATATCCTTAATGCAAATCTTTGAGTTATCAGAGTTGACAAGATATCTTCACGAAAATCGGCCCAGATTATTCTATTCTATACATTTTCTTCAGACCGATTAAAATCGAAATASAAATATTTTATATCTATTTCAATTTGAATGTAATAACTTTTTATTTTCTTTCTTACAGATAACCTGTTAAATATGGAGTCGCTAACTAGTCCATTCGTTATCTATTGGGGCATGCATATTATATCTTTAGTCCTTTCAATAGTGATAACCATAATCTATTGGAGTGTGCTCTATGATGGTAAATAATAAAATATTTTATTTCATTCTTCTTCTTTATTGGCGTGGACACCGCTTACGCGATTAAAGAAGAGTTAACCACAGTGCGCCAGTCGTTTCTTCTTTTCGCTATTTGACGYCAATTAGATATTCCAAGCGTAGCCAGGTCCTTCTCCACCTGGTCCTTCCAACGGAGTGGAGATCTTCTTCTTCCTCTGCTTCCACCGGCGAGTACTGCGTCGAATACTTTCAGAGCTGGAGTGTTTTAGCGTAGGCGCTATCGTTCTCTTTCGGAGAYCTTTTCTCCCGAAAACTCGCAACATCGACTCATGAGATGTTGYCATCGTCCAYGCAGAACTAACGGCGCTGTGTTGAGGCCAATGATATCAATATCGTCGGCACACGCCAGCACTTGTACACTGTTATAAAGGATTGTACATTCGCGATTAAGTTCTGCAGCTTGCATTATTTTTTTCAGCAGCAGGTTGAAAACGTCGCACGATAGGGAGTCGCCTTGTCTGAAATCTCCTTTGGTATCGAACGGCTCGGAGACGCTCTTCCCGATCCTGACGGAGCTTTTGGTGGTCTCAACGTCAGTTTACACAGCCGTATTAGTTATGCGGGGATACCAAATTCAGACCGTGCGGCATAGAGGCAGATCCTTTTCGCCATCAATCCATCGGCCCTCTCCGCTTTGTTGTTCTTCAGGTGGGTAATTGCTAATCGAATTTCTTCATCTTCGAGCAATGGAACGTCTGCTCCATCGTTATCGACTGGGGATTCGGGTTCGCCTTCTCCTGCCGTTGTACTTTCACTGCCATTCAGCAGGTTGGAGAAGTGWTCCCTCCATAATTTTAGTATGCTCTGGGCATCGGTCACTAGATCACCTTTAAGGGTTCTACAAGAGTACGCTCCGGTCTTGAAACCTTCTGATAGCCTCCGTATTTTTATATTCTCGTAACAAAGTTGCTAAGGAGAGTATTATAGTTTTGTTCACATAACGGTTGTTTGTAAGCCCCAAAACTAAAAGAGTCAGATATAGGGTTATATATACCAAAGTGATCAGGGTGACGAGTTGAGTTAATATCCGGATGTCTGTCTGTCCGTCTGTCCTTCCGTCCGTCCGTGCAAGCTGTTACTTGAGCAAAAATTGAGATATCATGATGAAACTTAGTGCACGTATTTCTTGGTTCCATAAGAAGGTTAAATTCGAAGACGGGAAAAATCGGCCCACTGCCACGCCCACAAAATGGCGAAAACCGAAAACCTATAAAGTGTCATAACTAAGCCATAAATAAAGATACTAAAGTGGAATTTTGCACAAAAGATCGCATTAGGGAGCGGCATATTTGGACGTAATTTGTTTGGAAAAGAAGGCGTGGCCGCGCCCCCTACTAAGTTTTTTGTACATATCTCGGAAACTACTATAGCTATGCCAACCAAACTGTATAGAGTCGTTTCTTTTAGGCATTTCCATATACAGTTCACAAATGGAAGAAATCGTATAATAACCACGCCAACCTCCCATACAAAGGTTATGTTGAAAATCACTAAAAGCGCGTTAACCGACTAAGAAAAAACGTCAGAAACACTAAATTTTACGGAAGAAATGGCAGAAGGAAGCTGCACCCATCCTTTTTTTTAAATTGAAAATTGCGTGGCGTCGCCCACTT